ACCTCGAAGGTAAATGAAGGTTTTGAATATTTTCCGGCGAAACTTCCGGCGACGATTACTCCCAACTCCGGCGACTTCGGCGGCAACCAACAACAGCAGTTCACTCTCCTCACTCTCAGGATTCTAATGAACTAATTTGCAGAGAGAATGGTGTAGTATTGGGGAAAATGAGTTCTCTCTTAAATAGGGGTTGATGAGGGAATGAGGACAATGCTGAGCTGCTTCTGCGTAGGAAATTGATTCGTAATCAGTGAGTGGGGGAGGAGGCGCCGTTCGCACAGTGTCCCTCATTGGGACCAATTTTGGTTCCAGTTGGGGTACACTTTTTGGTTCAACTTTCTCCGAATTGAATTCCGTTTGCACCGTTGTGATCTGGCAGTTAAACTCTATCTATTGATATAATTTTTATATGTATTTGTAATACTTTTTCCGACATCATATTTTTGGGTGTTTGACTTTGACAGAGTCAAAATTGATTTAGTTGATCTTTATTCAAAAAGGTTTCTCACATTTAATTCATATAATTTGTTCTAATGATTTATTTCAATAAATCATTTCAAAGTTCACATCATAATAATTTATTCATATATTCTTGATTTGGGTCTGTACACAGGTTCCCAATCAAGATCACATAATTAGTCAATATTTTGGATTTATCTCTATGAGACTTATCCTGATTGTAATATTCAATATTCAAACATATTTCATTTTGGCCCAAAGCCCAACTAACAAACATTTATTCTTAATTAAAACAAATTTGATTAATTGATTATTTATTTATTAATAATTCTAGGGTATATTTTGGGGCGTTACATCACATGTCTCCACTCACACTCAATATGCGGATATTCTTACAAAGGCTCTTGGCAAGGGACGATTTGATGCTTTACTTCCCAAGTTGGGTGTTTGTTTACTACACGCTTCAACTTGAGGGGGGTGTTACAGATATTATTATATTATTTATGTGTATTACCTTTATGATTGTAAAGTAAATATGGTAATGTATTTATCATCCATGCGTACATCCATGGAAGGAGCGCAAGTCAGGGAGATATTTTAGGAGTTTTGGTAGGTTACTTTCTTTATTTAGGATTCTTTGCTTGTATACATAGGGGAGCCTCTGTAACTCCTGGAGAGAACACATATACATGAAAATATTCTTCCACATCTTCTTCAATTTCTATCAGAGAGAGAGAGGGGGGGAGGAAGAAGAAGAAGAAAGAGTAAATCTGAAGAAGAGGATGAAGATTGGGAGAGAAGAGCAGAAAAGAAGAAGAAATGGCCAAGTGTGTGAGGAGAGAGAGAGAGAGTACATAGCCACATGTTTTGGAATGCCAGAATCTATATCCCCATTCATGGATGCTACCCGGGTATTTATAGTGGGAATTTGGGGAGCCACTGTGACAACCCTTGTAGGTATTCAAAACGTCACATCTATTATAGCCACGTGGGAGGTCACACCTACTGTAATCACGTGGGAGGTTATATCTACTGTAATCACGCGTCCATGTATATGCCTACTTTTGGTTAACCAACTCCCCCTAAGTTTATTTTGGAGCACGCTTCTAGGGTCCTTATACCCTCACTTCGATCATTACATCACTGATTGGGTGTGCCCATGGTGATCTCCTAGAATTTCATCATGTGCTACCTTCGAAGTTGTCACACGTCCTACTCTAGGAAATGATGACCGCTCACCTGGTTTAAGGTATAGCCTGAGTTAAATCCATACGTCAAACAACTTATTGTGTGTCGTTCGCACATTTGCTGGTTCTTGTCTGTAATGGCTCATCACCCAGATTATAAGCTATATCCCGGGCTATATTCATCCGTTGGATAACTCGTTGTGTGTCAGAAGCTTGTACCGTGTTTCTTAGTGTGTGGATCCCCCGTCACCCAATCTATGAGCCATAGCCCAAGCCATGCTTGCATGTTGGATAACTTGCTTTGTGGCGCACAGTCCACTCATGCTCTTACCTCTGCTGTAGATGAATGGGGATCGAATGGCCACCACCTGGAAAATAAGGCATAGATCGGGTTGGGTCAATGTGTCAGAATGCAAACCAGATGGCCAATCACTTGTGCAATATGCTATAGTCCGAGCTATGTAAATATGTTGGATGATCATTCTGCGAAACATTGTTATTGTGTGTGTTTGTGTGTTATTAGTCCAACCGGTTTTTCTGAAAGAATGTCCCACTCCACCCTCTTATCGGATAAGCAAGCCATAACGGCTCCGTTTGGCATCAGCTCATATGTTAGCGTTAGCGTTTTAGAACGATTATCTAACGGTTGCTTTTGGCGCCGTTAGTGCATTGTGAATCTCTCGGCTTCGAATTTCTTGGCGGTTTCTTTGTTTCTTTTCTTCGTCGATTTCTTCGTACATAGGCACCTCCTCGTCCGGGTTGTATTGACAAATCGCAAACCCGTTATCCTCTACGATCATATTATGAAGAATAATACATGCGTACATGATATTCCTCATTTTTGTTTGAGAAAAACATTTTGACGGACGATCTAGAATGTGCCACTTAGCCTTCAAGACCTCAAAGGCTCGTTCAATATCTTTTCTCGCCGCCTTGTGAGCTTTTTTGTAGGTCTGGCGTTTAAGACCCATTGGTTCGGAGAGGGACTTGACAATCGTGGAATAATCTGGATATATTCCATCGGCCATTAATCCAATCGTCAAAAATAGACGATTGATCGAGAACATTGATGTCGTTGTTCGAGCCCACGACATTGAAAAAAGCGTGCCAAAACCACAAGTCATTCGTAAAAAGAGAGGATGACTCATCCGAAAACGATTACTAAAATCCTTCGGTGTATAAACACATTGTGTATTAAAGTAGTCGTTGAGAAGTGAAGCGTGTGCAGCCGCTCGATCCCGGTTTAAAGAAGTAATTTTGTAATAAAATTAATATAGTATAAAGTTTTAAGAGGATCGGAGAGGATATTTTCTGAATCACACGCAGCTCCAATATATGAAGACGCGCATGTTTTTGAAGATTCTGCGATGTTCGTATGGTCATCTGCATATTAGTTTTTAATGGTTAGTTTTTATTATAAGTTTATATAAAAACATGACTTATGTAAAACAATGCGTACCTGTAGAAGGAGAGATAACATGGTTCGCTTGATCAAAAAGCGGTTCAACTGGAGTTTGCATATCGTCTTAAAAAAATATTAAGATACCTCAATGTTTAATTGGTGTAATAATTTATAAAAAATTCAATGTTTGATTGCGTATTTTTCTTAAATCCAAATATAAAGGAGTTATGACTTACAATCATGTATATCAAATTTGTCTTTGAATTTAAAGGCATCATTAAAAGATATTGGTATATCTTTCAAATCCAGATTACAAAAGGATGACATGACCATATTCATTGAAATTAAAACATCAGATGCTACAAATTGACCTGCATACAATTTACAAAAAAAAAGTAAACTTTTTTGTTTAATATTTATTGTTACATTCATTTAAATATTTCATTTTAATAATTAAGTATAATATACAAGGACAAAGATATTTTTGTTGTGCAATGGTCATAAAGGAATATTTAAAAAAAATCTTTTTTTAGAATCAAATTGTATGTTTTTTCTTTATTATTTTCCAAGTTTTGTTTAAAAATGTGCACTTCTTAAATAATTTTGTTTAAAAGGTTTTTTGTGTTTTTGTTGTTTAATCCTACTAAAGGACCAGAAAATACTTTACTAAATAAGTATAATTTATTAGGAATAAAGAAATACGTTTGTTCTTGTCATTGTACTAAAAGGAATATTGAAACAAATATTTTTTTAGTATCAATTTTTTATGTACGTTATTTTGCTTTCATAGATTATATTGTCGTTTTTTAATTTTTTTAGATTCTTTAGAACTTTATGTTTTTTAACCATTTTAAAAATTTAGTTTTAATAATCTATGTAACGTGATGTTTTAAACATGAAAACATTTGTAGAAAAAAGTTCTCATTAAAAATTGCGTAGAAATAAGTTTTTTAATTTTTTTTAAATTTTTTTATAATTTGTAATTTCTTATAATAAATGCCTTTTTGGGGATTTTTTTTGTGACGTTTCAAATAAAACGTATTTCATGTTTTGTTTTAAAAAAAAAAATTGTTTAATATCCAATTTTTTCCCAAAACTAATATTACACGGTTTAGTCATATCGATTAAGAAAGACATTAATCTAGTCTAACTATACTTAAAGCATTTTAATTTATATCGTACTCATTAAATTTTTTTTATTAAATAATTAATCTAACAATAGATGTTACACGTGTAGGAGGAGAAGGAAAAGGTAAAACAAAACGTAGGGGTGAGCAAGTATCGAACCGATACCGAAATTTTCCGAAAAACCGAGAATACCGAACCGAAAAAGTACCGAGAAGGAACCGGACCGTAACGAACCGAATGGTCGGTATGGTATTTGGGAACGGTACGAGGTGACGTCACATACCAAAAATCGCATACCGAACATATATACTAAAATATTATAAAAAATAATACCCAGGAGTAATATTTTTATATTCCTTCACTAAACAATAATTTCTTTAAAAAAATTTAGTTCAAGTTCTATTATGTGTAAATTATACTTTTATTTGAGTTTTAATTTTTGTGTATGAAGATAAAAGTATTCACAAAGATTCGAAATACTCCTTTGTTGTCATTCATTTTTTTTAGTTTGTGAAATATAAACTAAGTTTTGATACGCATCACTTGCATTTAAATATTCATTTTTCTTAATTTTTTATGTTTTTTTATTTAAATTCACTTTTAATTTTCAAAAATAAAGGGGTATTGTTAAATTTTAACGTGTAAAGTAGGTTTGTATATTCATCCCGATTTGTACCAAAACCGATACCAAACCATCCCGAACCGATATTTCGAGATCGGGATCGGTACGGAGTAAAATCCCACACCGAACCGAAATATTTGGTAAGGTATGCTAAATAGCCTACCATCCTAAGGAAACCTATTACGAAGTATTTCGGATGAAGGGGCACTTACCAAACACCGAGAAGTTTCATTCCCATTCACGCATAGAGAGAGAGGATAACAGATCTGCGTCTAATTTCCGGCGAGTGTTAGTCCACGTCGACGTTAACTGATAGAAGACGGCCAGCATCCTCTATGGTAAGCGATTCGCACAAACATCGTACAATGGTGAACCCCAAAAGTCTACTTTCAGGGTTCGAATTTTTAGATCTATATTAGATTCAATTTATACATAGTCAGCTTAATATTGTTTATAATTTAAAATGGGTTTTTCTTCTTTTTTAGATCTGGATATGATTGATGTTTTTTAGATCTGTGTGTGAACACTGCCAAGATCCGAATTTGATAACTTTTTTAAATTGTATTCTCCGTTGATTTAAAAGCTTATGAGCTTGCATGCTTTGGTTCAATGTCTTTTGTGGTTTAAAAAAATCGAACTGAGTAAATTCTGTCTCAATTTATACGGAAAATGTTCAATACCTTAAGTTCACTTTTAAATTAGAAGACTCATTCAAACATGTATATAAAAAACCTTTTATCTACACTTTGAGTTCAATTTAATGTTTGAGTGTTTTTTTTTAATATTCTCAACTTATAAAATATTTTCTTCACATTCAGGATGATTTTTTTTATTTGTTATCTTCTTCAAGTGTATGTATTTAGGTTGATGTATGTTTTTTTCTGTTATAAATATGTGTTGGTAATATTCTTTTTCTTTTGAGGGAAGAGAAAAGAGATTGACCTCTTCACTGAGAAGCTATTAAATCATGAAGCATTTTTTACTATCAGGTATACTCTTTTAGGTCTGTCCATTATATATCCTTATTGATATTAACAAAGAAATCCACATGTGAAAAATCTAAAGAATTTTTTTTTGAACGGTAAACACATCTTTATTACACAACATCCAGTATCCCATCATACAAAAATCTATCTCTACTACTAAACAAAGCTTATACTACATCACTTTCAAATAGTTAAAGTAATATTTAACGTAGCTAATTGCTTGTATCTTAAACTCCTCTTCCTTCTTCTTGTTTTGGTGCCTCTTCTCTAAAGAATTTTTAGAAAGGAATAATGTTATACACTCTTTTACAGCCTTCAAAATGCTGTGTATTGGCCCAAAGGGATGTGAAGTTAAGAGGAACCAAACATGATGCATATAGATGACATCAACTCAGCACTCCCTTTCTTATTGCTTTGTATTTACTCTTTTCGGTGTGTAGTGTATATCAAGTTTTTGTTTGTATTTTTTTTGTATTTTTGTATGTAGCAGGGAGCATTGTAATCAATTGGCTTAGAAAATGGCAGGATGTTAGCCATGTGTTTCCAATTAATTTCAGCCATTGATTTGCTGAATTTTGGCGGCAAAATTGACCTCAATTTTTCATTGATTTCTCCATCAGCTTATATATATATAGTAGATATCTATCAACTTGGTAAATTTCACATTTAAAGTGTATCCAATGACTCTATCAAATATTGAGGATTGGGCGACCCATTAAACTCACCTGGAAATCGAGTAACTTACAAGAATTTATATACTGTGTACATTTCCCAGTCATGGCATTCTGTTGGGCCGAGAAAGAACGATGGTGAATTTGTACGTAAAGGCGGAGCCGCCGGCGGATCTGAACCGGAACACGGAGTGGTTCACATACCCGGGGGTTTGGACGACCTACATATTCATCGTCTTCTTCTCGTGGCTCGTCGTTCTCTCCGTCTTCGGCTGCTCTCCCGGCATGGCTTGGACCACAGTCAATCTCTCCCACTTCGCCGTACGTACCGCCAAGCTCATAGATCCCTTTCATGCTCTTCTATTTATACAATTTCTATCTCATTATTACGCGCTTTTTTGTTATTCCATTGGAGTTTTCTCTAATAGCTTTGATTCGGAGTAGTATAGTTATGCTTTGCTTGAAAATCAACGCCTGTTAGGGGGGAGCTGAATTGTTTGTTTATATCTCTCTTTACGTGGTTAGGTTGAGGTGTGAAATTTTGAGACCCTCTTTTTTTGGACAACTCATTTGGATATTTTGATTTTTTATTTAGAATTCTTGGCCCAGTGACCTAACTGGGAGGGGGGGATAAGAAATTTGAGGCTGTGATTAATGTTTTGTGTCATGTGGATTAATTGTTTTTCATTTGGATTAAGTTTTTCTGATAAATGTAAAAGATGCGTAGAAACTGTTGAATTGGCATGGTGCTGTTTTATCCCAAGTTTTCATGTGATCTATCCTATGTCTTTGTAGGAGTAGGAGGATTTATACTTCATTCTATGCTTAATCATTTATGGGATTTAGAGTTATCTAGCCAATTTGCTTACCTGTGTAGATCACTTATCACTTCTTTCACTGGAAGAAGGGAACCCCATTTGCTGATTACCAGGGAATGTACAATGGATTGACTTGGTGGGAGCAAATAGACAATGGCAAGCAAGCTACCCACAAAAGAAAGTTTCTAACTGTTGCGCCTGTGGTTCTGTAAGTTCTCTCTAGTTCATTCTCGGGCATGATCAGTGTGGCACATGTTTCCTCTAATGATATGCACAGTTTGCTAGTCATTGAATTTTGGCACTTTGTTTTCTCCATCTGATAGACATCACACTCCCTCCCCACAAAAAAACCTCTTCAGAGGAAAAGTATACATTTGATTATTCTGTTTTTATAATTCTTTGGGCTCCCCATCTTTGTTTACAAAGAGTATGTTTGTCAGGCGTAAATGTGTTTGCTATGGGTAAATTTGTTGATATTTTGGCTTCTATACAAAAAGAGAAAATGCTGGAAAGCTATGTTATTTTATTCATTCAGAGAGCACATGCACATGCATGTAAGGAGTTATAAGTATATCAAGCTATAGAATTGGGCTAACATTAGGCTTAAGCTTAGTTATGTCTCACGATATCTAGCTTCCCCACCTCCAAATTGGAGCACATATAGGGCGGACCCAGAAAACTCTTATAGTGGTGTCAGAAACAATTTAAACATTTTTGGTATTTAAACATTTTGCATCCAAATATGGTGTTCCTAAATGTCATCTTTGGCCATCAAAAAATGATATTCAGATTCCCTTTTTAGCATTTGAAATATCACCAACCGTCCAACCCAAAAAAGGAATAGTCTACACATGTGCCTTAAACAAACCTATTTGCGATGGATATTTGATAACCAAGCCGTATTCAACAGAAAAATATAATTTATATAAAATTTTATGCAATTCTTGCTTGCATCATATATCCAAATTCAATTTAGAAAACAAAGAAATTCTATGTATAGGTTTCTGAAAAACAATTCCACTGGTGTGAATTGACTCCACTGGCCTCTTACTAAGTCCGCCCATGAATTATATTTATCATACCCAACTTTGCTTAAGAGTATCAAACTCTTAGAGCCTTAGTGAACAAAACTCCTAGCTGTTCTAAGGTCTTCTGTCTTCACATTATGCCTCTTTGAATCTTTTATTTTACAAAATGACAGTGGGCCTCAATATGCTTTGTTCTTGCATGAACAATTAGATTAGATGGAATTTTGTATACTTTATTGCAGCTTGATTGCCTAAGAAGCATTGGTGTTTCCAATCTAGTATCCTGCATGAGTCGATATCTCTGAAATATGTCGAGTGTGGATTGTGCTGTAGTATGATATTCTGTTTCTTCACAAGACTGAGTTACCACAACTGTTTCTTACCTTTCCATGTCACAAAATATCCACCAGCAGAACCTGTCATGGATCACCAATCGTTCTTGGATCATGATGTATCCATCAATTTGATGGACAACACTGTATCCCAGTGCTCCCTAACACAAAATATCTTCAATAATCAATCGTAGGAGTTTCCATATATTGACTTACCACACTTACTAAATTACTGGGTAGGCAATGTCAGTGTGAGATATTTCAACATCCCTATAAATCTTCCTTTATCTCTTAGGTTCTTCTTAGGTTCTTCTAATAGGAGTTTAGGTTCTTAGGTTCTTCATATTTAGGTTCTTCTAATGAGTATGCTTTTCTTATTTTGTTTTTTCTTCAACCTCAAGAAATATTTCCACAAGCCAAGGTCTTTTTGTTTGAGTTGAACTGTTGAAGGAATATTTTAAGAGCCAAAGTTTCAGGTGCATTATTGCATGTGATAAGAATATCAACAACTAAGATGATACCTATTTTTGCATGTTTGTAAATGATAGAACGTTCTCATTGTGTTATACCAATCACAACTGTTCAACAGTACTTTTCAAATTGGGTATCGATCGAGACTGTTTCAGACCATGCAAAGGTTTTCAAAGTCTAGAGACCTTTCCATACTCCCCTTAAGAAAAAAAATTGGAGGTTGCTCCATTTCAAACAACCAAAATTTTAAAGTTTAAGCTATTTAATCTTAAATACTCCCTCCGTCCTAAAATTAACTTCTCATTTGACTTTTCACGGTCTCCAATACGAGACTTTGACCATCAATATCTCAAGTTTTATATAAATATATTTTATAAAAATTATATATTTCAAAACTATATTCCAAAATGAATCTATTGCTAATAAACTTATATGAAAATTTAATATATTTTTTCCTTAATCTACGGTCAAAGTTTAAAAAGTTTGACTGCAAAAGTCAAACTGGGAAGTTAATTTTAGGACGGAGGGAATACTTGGCACATTAACTTTAAATGTAAAGACACACTAGAATTTATCCAAGTCCCAAGTACGGTTAATGTCCAAAGCATTCATTTCATCTTCCAAAGAGTTATGCCGTCCGTGGGGGGTGTGGTGGGGGGGGGGTGGCAATGCTTCTCTAGGGGTATTTTATAATTCTTCCTTTTTATTGGATGGAATCTCAATGAATTCCTATTTTGGATGATAACAAAACACCTCTATGTCAGAAGTCACGACATATTATATGCCCCTCCCCCAGGTAAAGGTGGGCAAAGAAGGATTGGAACCCACAGCACCGTGGTTTGTAGCCACATGCTCTACTCAGGTGTCCTCAATTTGTGAAGAAACCTCTTTGTTTTGTCTGGCTGGTGGAAAATAAAGAAGTACGACCTCTGTCATATAATTTACATCTCACTTTGACTTGTCACACACACACACATATATGTATGTATGTGTGTGTGTGTGTATATATATATATAAAACAAGAACTAATGGTTGTTGCAAATTCAAGAGTGGATATAATCTTTACAGCGACGATATCGTTAATAGCAAATATTACTTCATTGATCAAAAAATAAATACCCTTTTTACCAAAATATCACTTCATTGATGGAAAAAACCTATCTCCACTTGTAGAGTCAAGGCTTAGTATCAATAATATACGTATAAATGTCCCCTTGAGTTTCTGTTTCACATCTGCAGCAACACCTAAGCAAATTTTATATGGTAAAGAAGCCATTTTAGCTGAATTGAAGCAACTTTTGACCCGTCTACTTAGCCTATTTGACCGGTTGAATCTAAACTTGCATTTTGTTGTTCATGTAGTACGAAAAATTTGTTGTGGTAAGTGATCAAGATCCATTCTCGGAAGACGTGTTTCTAATCTTTGCCGTATAAAAGTGTTCCCTATCCACCCCGCTGGGAGAGTTTCTTGTATGCCAGTCACAAAAGCTTGTGTCGTATCCGTTGTATGTAGCATGACAACCACGTTTTTTGATAGTGAAATTTGCACTAAATAGGACTAAAACATAAGTCATTTCCCAATGTAGGACTTAAACTTTTTTATTCTCTAAATAGTACTTAATAATGTCTAGTGGGAGGAATAATGTCCAGTGATCATGAACATTAACATTTACTTGAATAATGACTAATGAATAATGACCAATGGTTGGAAAATAAAAACATATGGTCATATATTGAGAAAGTCATTATGTTTTAGTCCTATTTAGGTAAATTACCCTTTTTGATAAAGTGGATTTTATGAACCTGTTTATTATTGTGTGAATTGTATAATAACCTAAAAAACTATGTTTGCAACTCGTCTACCTTGTAAAAGGAGCGTCTGGTCAAGTGGCGTAAAACCTTAACCTGATATTAGGGATTCTAGAAAGCAGTGAGCTTATTGGCAGGTCTTTACTTCATTAGATGTCTGTATTTAAAATCGTGATCACAAGTTTAGTAGCTTTCTATCTTATAGCCATAAACAATTCTGAATTGTTTTTGTTTTAGCCGGCATGTAATCTAAAAACTGAATAATCACAAAGTAACATTTTCTAAACATTTCACTACTTGCATAAATAAGATAATCAATATAACACAGAGTATTTATAATTTATAATAGTGAGTTCATCTATATATCATATGGGAGCATGTTTGGGTAAAATTTGATTTTAGAAAACAAAAAAGGATAGAAAATAAAAAGAATGTGATAGAATTCAGATTAAAAATAACAAGAAAACGAAAAATTGCATAAAAAAGATAATTCAATTCGAGAAGGGAAAGTGTCCATACAAACCAAAGTTTGAGAATTGGAATAAAACAGGAACTGAAAACAAACAAGGAAACAAAGCTTACTAATAAACATCCTATGATAGTTGTTTCCTAAAATTTAGCCACTCTTAAACAAGGAAACAAGCCTAAGAAACAAGATAGTGGAGAAGTGGGAAACAAGAGTGGCTAAATTTTAAGAAGCAACTGTCGTAGGATGTTTATTAGCAGGCTTTGTTTCCTTGTTTATTTCCAGTTTATGTTTTATTTCAATTCTCAAACTTTGGTTTGCATGGACACTATCCCTTCTCGAATCGAATTATCTTTTTTATGCAATTTTTCGTTTGTTTGTTGTTTTTAATCTGGATTCTATCACATCGTTTTTATCTTCTATCCTTTTTTGTTTTCCGAAATCAAATTCTTACCCAAACATGCTCCCATATGATATATAGATGAGCTCATTATTATAAATTATAAATATGATATTGATTATCTTATTTATGCGAGTAGTGAAATATTTGGAAAATGTTACTTTGTTATCATTCAGTTTTTAGATTACATGCCGGCTAAAACAAAAACAATTCATAATTGTTTATAGCTAAAAGATAGTAAGCTACTAACCTTGTGATCACGATTTTGAATACAAACATCTAATGAAGTGAAGACCTGCCAATGCCAATGAGCCCACTGCTCTCTGGAATCCCCAACATCAGGTTAAGGTTTTGCACCGCTTGACCAGAAGCTTCTTTAACAAGGTGGTCGAGCTGCAAACATAATTTTTTTAATTATTATACAATTCACACAATAATAAACAGGTTCATAAAATCCATTTTATCAACAAACGTGGTTTGCATGATACATAAAACGGATACGATACAAGCTCTTGTGGCTGGCATAAAAGAAACTCTCCCAGTTGGGGATAGGGAACACTTTTATACGGCAAAAATTAGAACCTTACACGTCTTCCGAGAATGGATCTTGATCACCTACCACAACAAATTTTTTGTACTATATGAACAACAAAATGCAAATTTAGATTCAACAGATCAAATATGCTAAGTAGACGGGTCAAAAGTTGCTTCAATTCAGCTAAAATGGCTTCTTTACCATATAAAATGACATTTGTACGTATATTATTGATACTAAGCCTTGACTCTACAAGTGGAGATATGTTTTTTTCCATCAATGAAGTGATATTTTGGTAAAAATGTATTTTTTTGATCACTGAAGTAAGATTTACCATTGACGATAAGGTCGCTGTAAAGATTATATATTTATATCCACTCTTGAATTGTTAGCAACCATTAGTTTTTGTTTTATATATATATATATATATATATATATATATATATATATATATATATATATAGTCAAAATATATCCCATAGGAGTACAAACAAGGTTTTTATATGATTTTACCTACATGTACACGCCAAAAAACCAAGATACAACATGTTGCTTCATAAAAACACCCTGGGACTTCCTCTTTAGCGACATCCATTTTGTAAATCAGCCTTCAGCGACATCCATCTTCAAATCTTCAGCGACATTCACCCTCCTATTTTTTTGACATCCATCCATTATTTTTCGATCAGACTTCTGCGATTAATTCCTCTCAATCTCTAAACCTTCAGCGACATCCATCCTCTTTACCGCTAAATTTCTCCAAGACGTGCGGTAGAATACTGTAATCGATCGCCAAACCAATTCCTCTCTCAAATTACTCCATGCAAATTCCTCTCACACCTTCAGTGATTTCTAGCTAACCGTTCGAGTACTCAGTGATACTCTCTACCAACAAGCATCAATCACCTACTTGATTTCTTTTCCAAATCTTTTAATTTCTGCAAAATAGTGTTTGTTATGGCTTTGATTTTGAAATTAGATACAATTTCTGCAAAATTGGCTTATGATTGGCAGTTCATCAATTTTTTAATTATCCAATGAGTAATTGGAAAATTTGCTATAACCTGCAAAATACATTAGGTTATGTTTTATGAGTGTGAATGAACAACTCATTTGGTCGTTGCATAGTGGAATGGTTTACCTCAGGAAGTTGTTCATTCTTAAGAAGACCCTTCACCCGGTATATTTGGTTTTCTATGAGATAGCTGTCTCCACAAATTGGCATCTCGTGTTAGGAAAACTAGTTTCTCCTTAGATGCTTGTTTTATCAAATTCCCGGTTTTTTAGAACAATATACAACAATGGGTTAAAAACACTAGTGGTCAACCTTCACATATGTTCGCCCAAGATAAAATCCAAAGACAGGTAATATGAGTTGAATTGGAAAATATACTGGGTATAGTTTTGGCATTGAAAATATACTAAGTTCATTATCTCCATTTTTAGGTATTGAATATATACTAAGTTCATAATCTCCATTTTCAGTACTAAAATATGTCTCTAAAATGCCTAAAAAACTAGTTGAAGTATGAACTTAGTATGTTTTCTGGAAATTTAAGTACCCATTTTAGATACATGAATCTGCATGCGTAAAAATTTTGTATTTTTGTAGTTCCTCAAAAGTTTACTGGAAAATATATTGAGTTCATTGATTTGGGTAATTTACTACAAATATGAGATGAGTTTTATACCTATCCAACTCAAAATGTTATTTAGAATTTCCTCTGCGTAGGGGCATAAACAAAATAAATGTTCAATATCTTCAATACCTCTACCACGCATGGAGCATGTAGTGTCATTATCTAGAAATTTAGCATGGTTTTGCTTAGTGGATAACCTACGAGTAAGCCTGCTCGAACCATCCAAGCAAGTAAGTCTTCTCAAATCAATGTGTAAGTCTTCTCAAATCATTGAGTAAGTCTGCTTGAACCATCCAAGTAAGTAAGTCTGTTAATCGAGCACTTAGTGTCAATATCCAAGTAAGTCTGCTTGAACCATCCAAGTGAGTAAGGTTTTGCCAGTAAGTCTGCTCGAACTAGCCCTTACTGCCCTTACAAAAACCATCCAATTAAGTAACCTGCCCTTACTGCCTTTATAAGAGCCACTGAGCCAGTATACAAATCATCCATTTCAAACAAGTCTGGACAAATTCTGAGCAGGCATATCACCTAAAATGAAGTTGTAGCCTTTCTGGACAATGTACTCTTCATTATGGATTAACGCCTTAAACTCATTCCAAATGCTTAGAAGTTTTTTCCTATAGAAACAGGATTGGCTGCTGATTGGACAATCCCAATCTTGTCTATCAAGGTTTCACTCTATTCCCCAAGAACCAATTATACCTTGTTTAGTTTCATGATCTCCATTTTTGCCATGTCTCTAGAGGTATTAGTGTTCTTATTTAGTTTTTTCCAATAAAAGCAAATATCATGCCCCGGAACACAAATTCTCAAAGTTTATTGTCTAATGTTTTTCTAGTTTTCTCGTTTTCTATTTACAAAAATGAATTTTTATTTCAATTTTTGATAATTGATTGCAATGATTAATGTGATTGTATTTTTATTAATTCTTGCAAACCAATTTCTTTTTAACACATAAGCATGATTTCTATTTTTAACTCATTTTGCTAAAGAGATAGGTTTGTGCTAAAAAAAGAGGAACAGGTTTATTTTTAAATGTATCTTTTTTGCTACTATTTTTCACCATTTGTTTGGCAACACTATTATGAGAACTCCAGGGGATTGTTACTTTTATGACTATGGCATACAAGAGTTGAGCTTTGAAGATTTGCTATCATAAGGAAAGTTCTTGCCAGGTCTGTTGCCAGAATCTACGACCTGCTCTCAAGTATATGCACAGATGACACTTCAACTAGTTCCTTCGGTATAAAGCTTTGATCTTGAATTCTTCATTTCTATAGTTTACCACAAATGGAATATGATTGCTATATTTCACATGCAAATTCACAAGGAAGCATTAGTGAGATCAGATTTATCAATGAAAGCGAGCAAATCTCAGACATATTATTCTGTAAGACTTTGCCTGCTAGTGAAACAAGTACTCATGGAGGTTTCTCTGTACCTCGCCGTGCTGCAGAAAAGATTTTCCCTCCTCTGGTAAGACTGTACATCTATATCATAATACTCTGTAATAAAAAGTATCATTATTTTGAAGATGCGTCTAAGATTCACATGTCCAACATGATTACTCAATGCAACCACCTGCTCATGAACTGGTTGCTAAAGATTTGCATGATAAGTCTTGATAATGTCTGGAGTTTTTGCCATATATATCATGGTGAGTTTGAGTTACCATTTATGGTAGACTTTCCCTCGGACTTGTGTTAATTTAGATAGCCTACATTGCAGCTTAAACTGCCATTATCACAGTTGTCAATGACCCGATCTCCTATCAGACAATGTACTTATATAATTAAGATGAAAAAGAAACCTAAAGCCAATTAATCCATTCTTGTATCCCCTCAGCTTGTAAAGAAGAACTGAAGAAATCATATCTTCAACAGGAGAATCTTAACTATTGATTTATTTGTTTGATTTTTTACAGATCTGGTCCTTCGGCCGACCTCTTCAAGAGATCCTGTCATTGTTCCTTGCAATCTTAACCCCACCGGTCCAGAAAACTTTGAAGGGAATGCACAAGCCGGACCTAGACAGACCCCACACAAAGACGTTTGCCATGTGTGAAGGAGGTTGATGTCAATGGGATAACTATGAAAGTTAAATACTGCTACATCTGCATGCTTTATAGACCTCCACGCTGCTCACATTGTTCAGATTGCAATAATGGTGTGGATCAGTTTGATCATCATTGCCCTTGGGTTGGACAATGTATTGGATTGGTATGCATTATTAAAACCTTACCACTTCAATTCCAATTGGGTGTTTGAAAATAGTCATACTCTTTTTCTTCTCTTTCTCCAAAACACATGACCATTTTCTCTCATAGAAACACATCGTCCAGATCTTTTTATTCTAAATTTCTTTTCAATATCTTTTCTTTAAGACTTAAGGCTCCATTTAGAACCTAGAATATATTTTCTTTAAGACTTAAGGCTCCATTTTGAACCTAGAATATATTTTCTTTAAGACTTAAGGCTCCATTTTGAAGGAAGATTTATTTAGGGAAATTGAAGGACAGATTCAAACATAATGCTACCATTTATGCAACTGGTGGGGAGAGGCATAGCCTTGTCTCAGTTTGCTCTTTTTTGTAGTAGTATTTTCCTTGCAAGACTATGTTTTGTGCTTCAAGAATCAAGAATACATATATTCTGGACAATTTGTATTGCGGCAGGTAAATTTTTTAGCTTGGTGCCACAAGAATTTCTAGGGAAAGAGTTCCTTGAGGATGTTATGTTGGCTGCGAAAACCCAACCAAAGGAACGATTCGAGAAAGAGTTCGTAGACTGTTGGTTAATAAGTCCCAACATTACATGTTTTAGTTTCTTAGGCCAAAAAAATATGGCTTCAATTTTTAAAGCTATAAACGGGTATATGTGATTCACATGCATTCTTGTTTTGTTTCGTTTTTTTTTGTTTTTTTTACCTCAGCAAGTACTCATTTGATCATGTATTTGTCAATTTGTATGTATAGTTTTTGAACCTCACTTATAATGAGCAAGGAGCATGAGCCATGGGCCCATGTTTTTAAAAAATACTCTCCACCCTATCTCTTACATGGTATGATTTTTTGATACTAGTAATGTTAATACTACATTTGTTCTTGAGTTTTGATAAGAGCAAGCATTGAAGGCCACATTTAATCTCTCCTAGATCATCACTTTTGTCTTTCTTTTGATGTTATCCTCAAAGTGGTGTTCTTTTTTGTTGTTTTGCACCTAATTACCATCCGAACTAACATAGAGGCCGAGGAATAGCCATATCTCTGTACACAAAAAATAGAGGAAATTTCATAATTGGTTCTTTATAACAGGGGGGTTTCCATATTTAGTCCTCTATTATCAAATATTACTCCCGTAGTCTTTTTTTTAAGGGTATCTTTCCATAAATGGTCCTTTTTTTGATCTTCTGCCGTGTTGGTGTTAATTTAAAGGCTAAAAATATATTTTGACGTCAACATTATGTCTAGTGACGTGTTCTGATATTGGTTAAGCGGATAACACAAAAATAATGACTATGATTGTGGGCTAGGATTCTGACGAAAGATCACATTTGTAGACTATAGTTGTCGTAAAAAGCGACTGGAATTCACAAACGACGCAAACGGAAGAGTCTTTGGAATTGTGTATGACAAAAGAGATATTATCATTGTGAAATCACACTTTTAGCCCTCAAATTAACACCAACATGATAGAAGATAAAAAAAAAGGACTATTTGTGGAAAGGTACCTATAAAAGAAGGACCACTTGGGTAATATTTGATAATAGAGGACTAAATAGGGAAACCTCCCTGTTATAAAGGATCAATTATAGAATTTACTGCAAAAAATATGTTACAGTCGAGAGGACCGATAGAATTAGACCACATTATGTCGACACAAAGTATTGAATAATTGAATGAATGAAGTAATTGTATTTCTCAAAGAATAAAGAATACAAGGGAGAGTATATATCGGAGGGAACAATCCCTACTAGAACTAGGAAACATAAATAGAAGCTGAATAAAATACTAAGTCTATCATAAATATTATTGACTATAACAAGTTGTCTAACATCTCCCTCAAGTTGAACGTCGTATCACGAACGGAAGCTTGGAAATAAGACATTGGTAGCACGACTTGGGAAGAGGCTTGGTCAGCAAATCAGTAAGTTGATCTTCAGAGAAGACATGAGGCACACTCATAATACCAGCAATGACTTGTTCACGAGCAAAGTGACAATCTCTTCCCACATGCTCCATCCTTTTATGAAAAATTAGATTCTTCGTAAGACATATAGCAGACTAATTATCACAAAAGAGTTGTGGGGTTGAGACTGACACACGCAAGTCACCCAGAACATAGGTATTTTTGACAAGTAGTTTTGACGTGAAACTTTTACAAAGGATATTACATGCAAATACAAACATCTATATCAAATTTTACAACTTTTTTGATGAATTTAAAATTTCACCAAAAAATGTGATGGTACCCCTAGAGCTCGAGACCAAAACTAAAAAAATTATAATTTAGATATTGTTGACAACTAGTTTTGACATAAAACTTTTACAAAGGATTTTACATTCAAATAGAAACATCTATGTCAAATTTCATAACTTTTTTGATTAATTTAAAATTTGGCCAAAAAATGTGATGGTATCTTTAGTTCTCGAGGCCAAAACTAAAAAAATTATAATTTAGATATTGTTGACAAATAGTTTTGACATGAAACTTTTACAAAGGAATTTACATGCAAATGGAAACATTTATGTCAAATTTCACAACTTTTTTGATGAATTTTAAAATTTTGCCAAAAAATGTGATGGTACCCCTAGAGCATGAAGCCAAAACTAAAAAATTACTCCCTCCGTCCTATATCTTTCTTCCCGTTGTGCAAAACGAAGAAAAATCCCAAGTTTTTTCAATCTATTTTATTTAAATATTGGTATAGAAATAAAAAATAAAACATACATATTTAAAAACTACATCAAAAGTTCAACAAAATAAGTGGTGACAAGAATATTTTATTTTATCATATAGGCCATGAAAAAACACAAATAAATATAAAATCCCGTGAAATTGGAATAGTGCTCTGGGAAGAAAATTTTAGGACGGAGGGAGTATAATTTAGACTTTGTTGACAAGTAGTTTTGACATGAAACTTTTAAAAAAGATTTTACATGGGAATAAAAACATCCATGTCAAATTTTGCAACTTTTTTTTGATGAATTTTAAAATTTGGCCAAAAAATATGATCATACCCCTAGAGTTCGAGGCCAAAACTAAAAAAATTATAATTTAGACATTATTGACAAGTACTTTTGACATTAAACTTTTACAAAGGATTTTAGATGCAAATAGAAACATCCATATCAAATTTCACAACTTTTTTTGATGAATTTAAAATTTCGCCAAAACATGTGATAGTACCCCTAGAGCTCGATGTTAGTCGGTTTAGTCGTTGTGCCCACGCCTTAGAGGGGGGGGGGGGGGTGAATAAGGCGTTTGAAAACTTTTCGGAGTTTAATAAAAACGGTGTTGGCAAATGCGGAAGCAATATATAAAACGCAAAAATAAAAGCGTAAATAAAATGCACACCGAATTTATACTGGTTCGGGAACTCCCTACTCTAGTACCTCGAGGCTTCTCCCCAAGGATTTTCGAATCCACTAAGTCTCGGTCTCTTGAACTCCGTCAAAGCACCGCACTAGTTTGGCAAACAACCATTGCCAATAGAATTCACTCCGAGATTTCACCACGGCTATCTCGAACCGTTTACAATGAAGATTTAACGGTTATCTTCTACCGTTTCCCCCAAGGATTTCAAAGGCTATCCTTGAACTCTTACCCAAGGATTTATACGGCTATCCTTAACCGTTACAACGTGAGAATTTAACGGCTATTCTCGACCGTAAGAAGGTGTGTTTGAAAAACACAAACAAGAGTTCTACACAACGGCTTGAATATAAAAATGAAGAACAAAACTTAGCCGGTGTAGAAGGAAAGTATACTCTCTCAAAAATACAATTCAAACTTATGAATATGAGAGTATATAACTAGAAACACAAGCTCAAAGTGTGTGTATAAAAATCGGGAATTTTAAGGCTCTTAAAATAGCCAAAATATTGAAAATAATTAATAGAAGGATGAACACACTTAGAATAAAAAGAGAGGATGTTTAGAGCTTTGTTTCTTGTTAAAATATGAAGTATTAGGCCTATATTTATAGTGGAAGATGTTAATTAGCCGTTAGGAGGTGATTAGAGTTAAATTAATTCAAAAATCAGCAATTAGGAATAGTGTTCCAACGGTAATGGTACCCTGTCACGGTAGCTAGGTCCCGTACGGTAGCTAGGTACCTTCTCAAGCCAAAACTCTCTGGCGGTACCTATCCTTACGGTACCCCTTACGGTAGGGGGGTCCCATCTCAGGCTAACCCACGGTACCCCTTACGGTACCCCTCACGGTACCTAGGTACCTTATGACCATTTTGACAATTTTTTCATTTTTGTCCAAATCATTTCCAATTTTGTTTAAAACCTTTTGGATGTTTGAAAATGATTATAAAAGGGTTTTAAACATATTTTGTGAGTGCTTTTGAGCTTGTGAATATAGGTATATAAAATCATATCCTTACATTGGTTTCTACCTATATTCTACGCTAGTTTGGTGTTTCGACTTCATTCTTGAGTACCGAATCTTAATGGATTCTTGTTGTACCTGAAACACTTAAACGAACGTCAAGCTTGTATATTGTTTGTTAACATCAAAACATGATTCTTAGCAAACCAAGGCAAACAATCTCCCCCTTTTTGATGTTGACAAACAATATACTTCAAAGTGAGTTAGGCGGGAGTAAAATAATGAAGCAAGCAAGCTCCCCCTAAGAATATGCATATTGAAAATACGCACTTTGAAATTTTTCTTGTGTTTATAAGAGTTTGAGTTTGATGCAATTAGTTACACAAGAATGCACTCAAGTCAAGTTGCCTATGCACCACTTTGAAGTATACGTCTTCTCCCCGTTTTGTCAAAATCAAAAAGGGCATTTTGAAAATTTTAACCATGTATAACTTCTTGAAACCCTCCCCCTATCAAAATAAATTAAGAAATGATAGTTTGGAGATCATTGGGCAAAAGGTGCATTTACAACAAAACTCCCCCTAAAGATAAAAACTCCCCCTAAAATGATGCAAGTTTAAAAACTTTATTTTTCAGGGATTTTTAGGGATTATTTTCTAAAAAGCATGATTTAAAGATGAATTTAAAAAATATTTAATCATGCAAACCAAGGCTAAAGTAAATGAAAGCACGTATGGGATAAGGTTTTATTTTTGAAAATAATTAAAACCAAACAAAATATCTTATCCAAATAAGTGAGAAGAACTTACCTTGGCTTATGTCGCTCTTTCTTCGGCTTTGAATATACTTCTTTCTCTTTTGATTTTCTCTGTCTTGAGTCTTCAAAAAATTTCCATTGGAGAAAGCTCTTGTATTTCTTCCTCATTACTCTTTCTTCGTCTTCTTCATCACTTGACGAATTAGAGTCCTCGGATGTTTCATCCGTCTCACTTGACTCATCATTTGAGTCACTTGAGTCATCACTAGACTCCTCTTTGGATGCCTTGAACGCATTGGTTCGTTTTGGGTCTTCTCTCAGATATTCTTCTTTCATCTTAATCATCAAAACTCGTGAGAATACAAAGAAGACCAAATGTGGGCGGTGCTTTCTGTTGCACATTTGGGTAAAAGATCTATAATACTACTATGCCATTCTTTTGGCAAAGAAAGTAAAATTTTAGTATTTAGTTCACTTGTAGAATATTCCTTACCCAAATAATCAACTTGTTGATTATTTCATTGAACCTTCTATTGGCATCTTGGATTGACTCGTGTTGGCCAATTTTGAAACTTTCGTACTCC